TCCCCTCCGGACCCCCCCCCCACGTGCCCCGCCCTCCAGCTCCTCTCCGGACCTCCCCCCCACATGCCCCGCCCCCCAGCTCCCCTCCGGACACCCCCCCACATGCCCCGCCCCCCAGCTCCTCTCCGGACCCCACATGCCTCGCTCCCCCCATTCTCCCCACATGCCCCGCTCCGGGCCCCTGCCCCCCAGAGCATTAAACACCCCCCATCTCACCCCTCCCCGACTCAGGCAACCCCACCTCAAGACCCGACCCCGACCCCGACCCCGACCCCTCCCGCGGGGCCCAGCGCCCCGCTCCCTCCCGCGGGAGGAGGTGGAACCGCAGTGCCGCTGCCCCGAGGCCCCTCACCGCGATGGCCCCCTCGCTCAGCCGCGCGCTCATGGTGCGTAGCCTCCCAGACCGCGAGCTCCTCGCACTGCCGCCAAATCCTCCCGCTTGTCGTTCGGCCGTCGCGCAACTTCACCCCCTCAGCACGTACGCTACGCACGTACGTACGTACGTCAGCCATGCGGCACCCACCATTGGCCGGCGTGCCCTGTACGGCGGAAGTGATTCCCTTGGCCCGTTGGTTGTGTGGCTGTGGGCGCCGCCATTGGCTCCTCGGCGTCTCACGGCTGAGGAGCGTGACTGAGAGAGCCCCGCCGGGCGGGGGGAGGCGGCAGGGTCGTGTAGCCTTCTCGGGAGTGTGTGAGGCGGCCCAGGGCGCTAGGGACGGGGTGGGGGCTCAGCGGCCCGCGTCTCCAGGCGCGTGAGGGGCCCGTGCGCTGCCCGGCCCTGTCCCCGGGGCCGCTGTGAGCGTCAGGCGCCGTGTCCCGGCTGTCCGCGGTCGGTGGGGCCGAGACACCCCCAAGCGGCGGGGACCCACGAAGCCGGGCCGCGGGCTCTGTCACGGCCCCTCTCGTCCTGACCCCGCCGCTGCCGGTTCGCAGAGCGGCTCTGCCCTGCGGTCTCTTCCCGCCCGCGGGCCATGGAGCTGCCTGCGGAGAAGTGGGCGGCGTATGCACGTCGGAAGTGGGCCTCGCTGGACCCCTGTCTGCAGCAGAAGCTCTCTGTGGCAGGGCCGCTTGGGGACACCTTCCTCCTGTGCTTGCCTCTCTTCCAGTGAGTCCTGGCTGCCCGCCCGCCCGCCCCTGTGTGCGCTGTGTGGCCGCCAGGCCCTGACACTGAGCTTTCCAACTCCTGCAGGCCCGCCGATGAAGAGTTCCTGCACAGCCTGGCTGCCCGTAACGGGGTGGGAAAGGATCCGAGAGCTGCACTTTTCTACAAGGAGGAGGGGAACAAGAGATTTCAAAACAAGGAATACACAGCCGCACTGATACTCTATTCCAAGGTAAAGCGCCAGAGTTGTTCACACAGATGGAAAAATGGTTGCTTTGAGGGTACTTCAGCCTCAGGTTCATCTCCCGGTAGGAGGGTTTGATGTGGGGATCACTTTTTACTGGAATGCCAAAGGAATGCTGAGGTGTTTGTGACTATTGTAACAGATGTCTAATGCAGTTGTGTAAGATTAGCAAGGAAATAGCTTTCTGGGGCGTCCTTGGGTAGAACAGTCATGAAAAGTTTTGTTCTGCATGGACCCTGCTTGTAGCCAATCAGTCTTCTCTAGTAACTGTTTTTCAGCTATAGCCTGACCACATGCGATTCCCATCTCTGCTATGGGCTTGGGCAAGTCTTTGCTCAGTCTGGAAAGGTGCTAAGCTGTCTCAACTCCCGGTGATTTTCACGGGCGCTGAGAATGCTCTGCAACATTCAGGATTGGATCTATGATCTCTGTGTTCTCTAGTTTCTAAATATGTAAAATAAAAACATCTTCCTCACAAGGGTGTTGAGGCTTAATTTATAGCCTTTGTAAAATGCACTGTGATTCTTGGATGGAAGACTCTAGAGAAGGGCAAATTACACCTCTACCTCGGTATAACGCTGTCCTTGGGAGCCAAAAAATGTTACTGCATTATAGGTGAAACCGCGTTATCTCGAACTTGCTTTGATCCGCTGGAGTGCGCAACCCCCCCCCCGAACACTGCTTTATCGCAGTATATCAGAATTTGTGTTATATTGGGTAGAGGTCTATTATGAGTAATAGATTTTTAAAGCCAGAAAGGGCCTTTCTAATCATCTAATCTGACCTCCTACAGAACACAGGCCATAGAACTTCATCCAGTAATTCCTACATCAAATACATTCTTTGTGATTAAGCTATAGTGTGTCTTTAAAAAGACATCCAATTTTAGTTTAAAGATTTCAAGTGATGAAGAATCCACCATGTCCTTAGGCAAATTGTTCCAGTGGTTGATTAATCTCTCTGTTAAAATTTTGCAATGTATTTCAAGTCTGAATTTAGTCTAACAGAAAAAGGCACAATGAAATGTTCTCGTGCAAGTACTTATAGACTGTGATTGAATAATCTTTTAACTAGATAATAACTAAATAGATTGAGCTTCTTAAGTCTTTTGCTGTAAGGCAGGATTTTCAGAGCTTGAGTAATATTTTTGCTTTTTTCTGAACCCTCTCCAATTTATCAACATCTCTCTTTGAAAAGTAGGCATCAAAATCAGGAATAATATTCCAGTAATGAGCGACAAAGAGTCCTGTGGCACCTTATAGACTAACAGACGTATTGGAGCATAAGCTTTTGTGGGTGAATACCCACTTCGTCAGACGTATTCACCCACAAAAGCTTATGCTCCAATACGTCTGTTAGTCTATAAGGTGCCACAGGACTCTTTGTCGCTTTTTAGAGATCCAGACTAACACGGCTACCCCTCTGATACTTGATTCCAGTAATGGTTTCACTAATGTAATCTACAGAGATAATAATAATACCTCCCTGCTCCTCTGTTTATACATCCAAGAATCTCACAAGCCCCCCTAACCGTTATGGTGTGGAATAAAGATGGAAGAGGTCAAGATAAGCAAGATAGGATAATGACAGGTTGGGCATGAAAATCTCCAGTACAATAGTCCAGTGTTGGCACATAACAGGTTGAATTGACTGTCTTTACCCCACTCCTCTCCCTTTCCCAGCCATGACCACACATATTTCATGTCCCAGAAACCAAGTTACCCATAGAACATATACCAATTCCTCTTTCTCAATGTGGCTACTACTCTTTTTGGTCTTTGCAGGCAGTGTCCCACAACAGCCCAGAAATGTCATTGTGTTATGCCAATCGTTCTGCAGCCCTCTTTCACTTGGGTCACTTTGAGGTAAGTACTAGATTTGACACAATCAAGGACAAACCAGCAGCTATTCGTTTTGAAAACTGGGTATAGTGAATCAAGTAATGGCAGTGAAGATTTACAGCTATTCAGCTGTGTTTTATATGCTGTGCCACAACTTCAAAAAAGTGGCATGCTGTGTGTTTCTGAAGGTGCCAGCACTGCATAATCCCACTATATGTTTCCCAAAATACAGCAGCAATCAGGCTAGTTGAAAGTGTTAAAATGAAGTGCCACTAAATTGGAAAAGGCCATACCTCAGTGGGAGACCACTGCTCAACATTGTGTGCTCTTGGTCCAAATTAGCCTAAAATGGCATTTGGGGAGGGGTAGAGTAGGGTTTCTCTTTTGGGAATCTGAGTGGTGGATGATTTTAATCTAATTTGTAATGCCTTCTTGCTGCTGTTTTTGTAATAGTTTTTATGGTACAGTTTTAGTGGATGATAACGGTGCCTAGGGCTTGGTGTTATGTCCTTTGCTCTTTATACAGCAAACATAATATGAAGAAACCACACTGGCATAGTGAAGTCCAAATAACTGTATTTACTAACTGTATACAACATGCAAATGCCTAGCTACGTTTATAGGCTGCTGCTCTGCATTCCGGTGGCTTTTGAAACCTAGAAGAGAGGGAAAGCCAGTAGAGGGCTTCCTAACTAACTAAAGCTATATTATCCAAACCCTGTACATTAGACCTGGGATAGGTCTTCCTGTGTTTGTTCTTTATTAATCTTAATTTGGATTTAAATAAAGTTTAAATACCAGGACAAGAGGCTGTGGTCCAATATGGTTTTAAAACTGTTTCAAGCTGCAGGTGCCTTTTTGAATTCCTCGGGAGTGTCTGCATTCTTTCTCTCTGTGGAATGGTCTCACTTTTAAAGTGGCAGCACTGTATAAGCCTTTACTCTGACCCCTGATCAGTCATGGATCAGAAACTTAGTTAATGCAGTTCTAAATAAATGAAATGTGCCCAACCTCAGATGGGGCAAAAGAGTAAAAATCTTTTTGGCATTTTTCAAAGTCATTTAAAAGGCTTCTTGTATTCGCTTCCAGGATTGTCTAGAAGACATTGACAGGGCTCAAGCCCAGAGCTATCCAAACAGATTGCAGCCTAAGATCTTGCTGCGGAAAACTGAGTGTCTGCTTCTTCTGGGGAGATTACAGGAGGCAGCAGAGGTCATCAGCAAAGCAGAGAGTAAAATAGCTATGGATCAAAGTCTGACTAGTACCACACGCCAGAGTCTGCTAAGAAAAATCAGTCAACTTAAAGTGAATGCACACGAGATGGAGAGTAGCCCAGTATCGGTGCCGGAAGCACCCAGCAAAACTCGAAAGGACTTGGAATTCTGGGAAGAAAATGGTAAAATTTCAAGTGCATTTTCATCTGTGAGCTTGAACTTTAACTCCTGCAGAGGACGTCATCTGGTTGCCACCAGAGATATTCTGCCTGGGGAGAACTTGGTGAAAGAGGAGGCCTTTGTAAGTGTGCTCAGCCCAGGGAAGAGCCTGTTGCTCCAGGACAGTGCTGAAACAACCTGGGATACTAGGGTCACTAATGCGGACCTCCACTGTCATCGCTGCTTGAAGCAGCTCTTGGGTTCAGTGCCCTGCGAGGGGTGTAGCTATGCCAAGTACTGCAGCAAGAAGTGTGCACAGCTGGCATGGGAGCACTATCACAGTACAGAGTGCCCATTAGGGGCATTGCTGCTCACACTAGGGGTCTTCTCCCATGTTGCCTTAAGGACTGTTCTAGTGGCTGGATTTGTAGAGGTTAGCAGCTTAATGAAGCAGTTTCATGAAGATGATAAGGAACTTCACAAGGCTGAAGCCAGAGGTAGGAGTCGGGATGAGACACGAGATTCCACAGCTGGCATGGAGGGTCTCTCTGAGAAAGCAGAACCTTTGATTCCGGGTTGTGAGGATGATGGACAGTACCGGGGTTCTTACCAAGCTGTCTTCAACCTTTTGACCCATGCTGAAAAGCACAGTCCTGAACATAAGTTCCTTTGCAGCCTGAGCATAGTAGCCATATGCAAGAAACTGCGAGAAGCAGATCTGACCATTTTGAGTCAGGGATCATGTGAGAGCCAGTCCAAACTGAAAGCACATGTGAAGATGTCTACTGAATTGTCTCTGGAGCTGAAGATTCTGGGAGAAGCAATGCTGAGACATATGTTGCAGCTGCACTGTAACGCGCAAGCGGTGACTGCAATCCGGGAGTCAGGTCAGTGAGAAACTGTACTCTTCTTCTCTCTTGTCCTTGTTGGATTGTCCGTTGGGAGGGATATAGCAAATGGATGAGCACTCTTAAAGAGATCCCACTGCACTTGGGTAAACTTTGTGTAAGTATCTTAGCTCCCTAAAACCTCATAATCTCTTTTACAATGGAAACTTCCTTATTCTTTCCCAGTGGTGTGCCCAGCACAGAATCATACAAATGTAGGGCTGGAAGGGACCTCAAGAAATCATCATGTCCAGCCCCCTGTGCTGTGACAGGACCAAGTAAACCTAGATCATCCCTGCCAGATATTTATCCAACCTGTTTTTAAAAACTTGCAAAGATGGAGATACCACCACCTCCCTTGGAAGTCCATACCAGAGTTTAACTATCATTATAGGTAAAACGTTTTTCCTAATATCTAACCTAAATCTCCAGGACTGCAGATTAAGCCCATTATTCCTTGTCCTACCTTGAGTGGACATGGAGAACAATTGATCACCATCCTCTTTGTAAGAGCCCTTAACATATATGAAGACTGTTTTCCAACTCAGCCTCCCCCCTCCCCCCCGCCAGTCTTTTTTTTCTCAAGACTAAATGACCATTTTTTTTAACCTTTCCTTCTAAAAGGTTTAGAAAATCTGACTTGTCATTTTATTGCTCTCCTCTGGACTCTCTTCAATTTATCCACATCTTTCCTAAACTGTGGCACCCAGAAATGGACACAGTACTCCACCTGAGGCCTAACCAGTGCCAATAAAGTGGGACAGTTACCTCCTGTATATACACCCTAGAAAGATACTAGCCTTTTTCACAGCTGCATCACATTGTAGACTCATTCAATTTGTGATCCATTATAACCCCCAGATCCCGTTCAACAATACTACCAACTAGACAGTTATTCCCCATTTTGTAGTTGTGCATTTGATTTTTCTTTCCTAAGTGGAGTACTTTGCACTTATCTTTATTGAATTTCATCTTGTTGAATTCAGACCAATTCTTCAATTTGTCAAGATTGTTTTGAATTGTAATCCTTTTTTCCAAAGTACTTGCAACCCCTGCCAGGTTGTTGTTGTCTGCAAATTTTATAAGCATACTCTCAGTGACTTGGATAATGGAATGAATGAAAATATTGGAAAGTACCGAACCCAGGACTGACCCCTGCAGGACTCCACTGGGTATGCCCTCCCAGTTTGACAGTGAACCACTGATAACTACTCTGAGTACAGTCTTTCATCCAATTTTGCACCCAGTTTATGATGGTTTCATCTAGACTACATTTCCCTAGTTTGATAGATAACTAGACTTGGAAGAATTAGATTTTTTTCAGCAAATATCAGTAAACATCAGTTTCACCATACACACACAAACAGAAAAAATACTTCAATCAAAATTTACAAATAGGGAAAGTAAGAAAAATGCTGCTTGAGAACTAGTTTGATTTGAGTTTGATTTAAAGATATTTACTTTGTATATTTTCACATGGGATGTTGACAGTTTGTGTTTTAACTGCTATAAAGCTTTAACTTTTTTGAATCTCAATGTCTACTGCCATTTAATGATTGTCTGACTTCCCCCCCATAATTTCTCTCAGCTGTGAAAATTTAAATTGATAAAAATTGGGGGGAAATGCTTAAAAATAGACACATCTGTTGGCAGAATTCGATTATTTTTATCTTTTTATAATGTCAAGTATAATGACGTTATAGAGTAGACCTTATGGAATCTGCTCTTCATTTGGATGCAGGGAGAAATTATTTGGATGCAAAGATTTCTAAATTTATAATTTTAAGTTCTGTTTTTTTAAATATTTCAGTTAAACAGCAGCTAAATCAAATATTTAAACTTAGTATTTGTATTATAGTAGCATTCTAGAAGAATAGAACTTACCTTCATCCGTCTAGAAACTCTTTGCTTTCCCTGTGGATTCAAATAGGGAGCTGATTACCCAAAACCATCTCCACGTGGTCAGACTGTGAGCATGGCAGCTTTCAAATTTGTTTTATTACATTAAGACACCAAAAACTTTTTTTTGCTGCTGATGTTTTGCTGTGATGAGATTCAGTGCCTGGAATATGAGCAAAGTAGGTCACTAAGTCTGATTTCATTATGTATTTGGCCCCTTTTATGTTGTGTGGTCTTTAGAGTCTGGAGACAGCATTGTTGCAGATAGTGAGCAGGTGCGCCTGGCCACAGCCCTATTCCCGGTCACCAGCCTCCTGAACCATTCCTGCGACCCTAATACTAGTGTGACTTTCAGTGGGACTGCTGTCACAGTCAGGGCATCGCAGCCAATCCCAAGAGGGCAAGAGATTGTCCATTGCTATGGTAAGTTGCAGTCCCTTTCAGGAATACATAGGGTACGCAAGTGACCTTTCACCTCTGCAATCCCTGCAGTATCATGGCCACAAGGGTCACTTTTCCAAACATGTGTTTGGCGTTTATCTCTGTTCTATCCACACATGCATGTGGGTGTGCACAACCCTGCGTCAATGACATCAGCATGAGACCTCCTACTCCTGCTGTTTGTCTCTTACAGTCACTCTCTAGTTGCATCTCAAGATGTGGGACCCACAGCTTATAGTCCTTACATAGAGGCACTGGGCGACACCAACCCCTTTTTCAGTCCCTTTGATTTCATTGCAAGGCCTCAGATGTGGGTGGGAAACCCAAAATGTAATAAAGCCACGGATTATATATTCCCTCTCAATCCATGGCAGGGTGGATTTTAGTCTGCAATTGGGTACCCAACTTTCCTGCTTTCTTAAAGTATTATCTCTTTGACTCGTTATCATCCCTTTGTAGGGCCTCACCGATGCAGAATGGGGGCTGCTGAGAGGCGGCAACGGCTCCTTTGTCAGTATTTCTTTGAGTGTCGATGCCAGGCCTGCCTGGATGAGTTGGGGTCTGATGTCACAGGCATAGCAGCCACAGGGGATATATTCTGCTGTTCCAGCTGCCATGCTTCAATGCAGGTAACTGTTTCATAATCACAACTGTGTAACTTTTGAAGTGTTAGTAAAACTAAATATTCTCTGCACTCTGGAATTGTACTGTGAGGGCAAGGTGGGGATCTGAGTCGAGGGCAAGGTGGGGATCTGAGTCCAGGGCCCCTACTCTTGGGACTAGGCAGAAGTGAGGGATGGTCTCGTTATTCTCTAGCAACCCTCTTGGAAGACTTGTACTTCTCCAGCTTGTCCAGAGGTCCCACCCAATACTGTTTTCTACCCCCACCCCCACAATCCTCCAGATGTTTGGAAACCCCTTAATGTCTCTGCCTTGTGCCCTTGCTCTCAGTAATCCCTTCACTAAACCCATTTCTCAAGGAAGGTTTATAAACTAAAAACAGTCCTACTAGGACCCTAACAGGATGTGTGCATTACTCTCTCGAGTAACCACAAGATCATATGATCTTTGCCCTAATCCTCCGCCAACTTCGTGGTGGTCTCTTTTCCTGTTGTTCTGGTCTTGTCTTTAGATTGTAAGCTCTTAGGGTAGAGACTCTGTTTCATCTGTTTTTGTAAAGTACCCTGCACAGCCATGTTGTTGTTTTTACTTCTAAAACAGCTGTTGAGCCATGAGTCTTCAAGAAAGAGGGAAGAAAAGGTGTATTTTCTATGAAGATTAATGGGGTGGCTCATGCCCTATTTTGGCCTTATCTAAGTGGGCTCAGGCTGGCACCATTGCCAGGGCTACTCCTTCAGCTTTCTTCCAGAGCTCTGAAGATCTAACACCAGCACACGGACAGGCCCTTTGTTTAAAGTGTGGCTGGGAAACAGTGTAATAGCCCTGGAATACACTACAGGGGTGTCGAGATAAACAACTCTGTGCTTTCTATGTGCAGAAATGATTGTAGACGTGGCTTGGTCTAGATAATTTAGTCCTGCCTTGAGTGCAGGGGACTGGACTAGAAGACCTCTTGAGGTCCCTATGCTACTCTGAAACCTATGATTCTATGACTTCCACAGGGGGAAGATGTGCTTCGTTGTTCCAGTGGTGCTTGTACACTATTGGTTGGCAGGGATTACCTCCTACGCCAGTTATGGGACCTTCGGCTGCAAGTTAGAACAGCACTGGGACTTCTCAAAGACAACCAGCCCAGTAAGAGAGCCAGCTATCTATCTTGGACCTTGTTCAGTTCATTACACAAGTGCAAGTAATCTTTATAGCGAGATCCTGATGCCAGCCACCAGATGGCAGTTTTGCCCGAGCATTTAGGTACTGCTGATATGAAGCTGGAATCCCTCGCAGCACAAGTGGTAGGCTGCTTATACTGCTGATCAGACTGGGAGGCTAAACTCATGTTTGCTCCACTGGAATATGAGGGAATTCAGGGAAATGTTAAAGGTTCGGGCCCAGACCCAATGTTTCAGAAGGCCCCCCTGCCCCCAGTGACACTGCATTAGGTTAGACAGGCTTCAGACTGAAATAGAAATGGTGACCCTAGCTAATTCTGCAAGAACAGCATATAAAGTCCAGGGCTAACTGCTCAAGGCTGGGGGGCGGGAAGAGAGTGGACCCGCTCTCACTTCACAGACCATGGCTAACTGGCACCCGCAATGGGTTCATGTCTCGTGGTAAAGTGCCTTTGTTACCTGGCTACCCCTCTGATATTTGTTACCTGGATTTGCAGATCAGGCTGTGGAGCTGCTGATGAGGTGCCGGGTGGATGCTGAGAATTTCCTGTCTGCAGAGCACATGCTGGTGGGTGAGATTGAGGATCACCTGGCACAGAGTTATGCCACACTTGGTAAGATGTCTTCCTGTCCCCTCTGGGGTCGTTTTCCTATGGCTGGCCTATTAAATCTAATGTCAGTAGAAGGAGATTCCCTGACTGGTCTGTTCCCTTTCTCACCTCCCTTCTCTTATTGCAGCCCACTAAACTGACATAGCAGAATCTTCTTAGGAATCTAGTTTTAGCCACAAGCTCTATTCCCAGCCAACAGGGACTGGCTGTGTGATCTTGGGTGCATCAGTTTCCCACTCTGTACAATGAGGATAATACCCCTCTGTTAACTCGTAGAAGGACTGTGAGTCTTAGTTCACTAAGGTTGTAAAGTCCTTTGAGTTCCTTCCATGGCAGTGGCTATAGAAAGGGAGCTATAATAATCCATTCTCTTTTTGGCCAGGAAAGTGGCAGGAAGCAGCGAGGCACCTGCGGCGCAGCATTCAAATTGTGGAAGCTCGCCATGGACCGTCCAGTGTGGAAACGGGTCATGAACTCTTCAAACTGGCACAGATCCTCTTTAATGGGTAAAGATCCCCATTCCAACAATCTCACCCTTCGTTCTACAGCTCTTCCCTGCTTTAGTCCATGTGCCTTGTGTCTCTGAGATGGGGGTGTGGCAGGAAGTCCTTGGCATCATTAGTCCCTTTGCGAGATGTCTTCCAGGACTGCTAGATGTTCTGGCAAAGGGGAAACATCTGCCTTTTATCCAGGATGAGGTGGAGGCTGTGAAGTATTTGGATCAAATGAAAGTTTCCTTCAGTTGGCTAGGGAGCCATCTCGTGTTCCTTTTGGCATCCTTCCCACCATTCCTCTGTCCCACTCCTGTCCTATCGCCCCCTTTCCTGTTACAGCTTCTCTAGCATCCCAGGTACCATAGAGTGTTCAGACCCCAGCACTACAGTGCTGCTGATACTTCCTTTTAAAGTGACAGTGCCCCAGATGCTTTCTCTTCTAATCATTGGCCAGCAGATCCCATTACTTTTTTTGTAGACGCATTTTTTATCAGTATTTCTGGTTTAACTGTCTCCCACCTTGGCAAGAGTGGCAATAAGATATGGCTGTTTTTCCAAGGATGAAGCACTTTGAGTTCCCTAGCTAAAACACAGGGCATTTACCTGACAGCACAGGTGCCAACTTTTGTCAGCACCAGTGGGTCGCGCCCCCACCCCAACTCCACCCCTGCCCCAGAGTCTCCGCCTCTCCCTGCCCCTATTGGATCCCCGCTCTGGCCCCACCTCCTCTCTCAAGCACGCCACGTTCCCCCTCCCTCCCAGGCTTGCCACGCGAATCAGCTGTTTCGCAGCGCAAGCACTGGGAGGGAGCGGGGAGAAGCAGGACCCAGCGGCGCACTCAGGGGCAGAGGTGAACTAGGGCGGGGCGGGGAGCTGCCGGTGGGTGCAGAGCACCCACCAATTTTTCCCCGTGGGTGCTTCAGCCCCAGAGCACCCACGGAGTCAGCGCCTATGCCTGATAGTGATGGGATGTGAGGGGTGAGTCCTACCCCTGTGATCAGGGAATTTCTGTCTCAGTGAAAGAAGGAAGAGGTGCCTGAGCTGTCCTGGCTTAGGGGAAATGGAGGACAGGATGAAGGGTGCTGAATGAATGGCTTCATCAAATGTGCTGAGGAAAGTTTGTCCCCTAAATCTTTCTCTCACTTCTTCCCTCTGTACTTCAGGTTTGCAGTGTCTGAAGCTCTGTGCACAATTCAAAGAGCAGAGACAGTTTTGTGTGTGCACTGTGGCCCTCAGAATGCCCAGGTCCAGGAACTGCAGGAGATGAGAGCCTGTCTGCTGGAGCTGCCCAGAAGCCTCCTTCACAGGGTTGAGTGACCGACTAACAAAGGAAGCTGCAGTGCTGACTCTCCTCAGGAAGCTAAGCTCCATGTGGCAGATTAGCCATGCAAACAAGGCCTGGCTACAGGCTGGGTGAGCTCTGAAATGTCTCTGGGGAGGGCCAGGGAATGAAGCTGATCTCTGCTGAAATGGGAGAGGACACCACTGGGGCACTGACAGAAGGGCTGTCTCATAGAACGGAATGTTGCTGTAGAATTTCTTAACATGCTTTTGAGAAAAGCATTTGAGAGCCTATTATGTGTTTTTTCTGAAGTTGTGGTTCTTCCCTGGAGGGTTAAATGTTGGCCCTATGCACACAGCCCCCCCCCCACCCACCACTATTGTTTGCTTTGGAAAACTGAAGTGCTGGCCTGTCATTCAGCACACCTATTCCTGCAAACATGAGACACAGAGGGCTGGAATGAGGCCACAAAATGAAGGGGATGCAATAGAAGTTGGGCCACTACAGTGGGGCTCACCACAGGGGACACGTGGTGATGTTGGAGGAACTCTGGGAAACTGGTACGGGGGCCCAATGCAAACCAAACCAGGGCCTGTGTTACAAGGGAGAACGCTGCGGCGCTTTGAAATGTTTGTGGCAAAAGCTCTTTTATTGCAGCATGTAGGCATAAGATTTGCAAGTTTGACTGTGCAGCAGAGCAGGGACCCAGCATCCTTCCCAGTTACCCCAGCCTTTCTGGAGGACTCGAACATTGCAGGCTGCTGTCCAGGGAGCTAAGTGCTCCTGGGGTCCAGGATTTTGCCAATAAAGAGGAGGGTTCCCGTGGTGTCATCCCTCAGCACAAATAGGAACGGTCTGTCTAGATGGTAGTCGAGGGGGAAGGTCAGGCGAGCAGCATTCTCTACGGGGCTTGGTGTGGATCTTGCCCCATCTTCATTTAGTTCCAGGACTGCCTTGTGTTGCACATGAGAGAGCTTGGTGGATTTGGGAGAAATCTTGCTGAAGTCAGGTGTTGTGAAGAGCGACTGGAGCCCTAAGGGAAAGGAGGAAGATTCCATTAGCTGGGAAGAAGGGGCCTTCTGGGAGGATAAGTAGACAGTGCTGCAGATTGGGGCCGTACTACTAGTGCTGCAGAGGGGAGGAGTCATAGGTAGGGTTGCCAACCCTCCAGGATTGGCCTGGAGTTTCCAGGAGTTAAAGATTGTCATGTGATGAAATCTCCAGGAATAAATCCAACCAAAATTGGCAGCCCTAATCATAGGGCCCATTGAGCTTATTGGGAGATGGTGGGAGTGGGCCCCAGGCAGAGCCTATGTGAGAGATGGAAGCATGAGCTGCCGTTGTCAATGAAGTCCATACATATGCCAGCAGGACCTAGCTTGTGACCATTGGCTGCTTGTTCTCGGGAAGCTGAAGGAGCAGCTCTGAGCCCCAGCAGCCTGCAGTGGGCCATTCTATGTACATACTCATCTCCTGCAGTGTGCTGCCAAGTGCCGCCTCAGAGCTCAGCTTCAGCCTGGGTATGCTCAGCACAGCGTGAATGGTCTTCAGCTCCCTGTCTATGTCACGGACAAACTCCGAGGTGAGACTCTCCTCAATCAGGGTCATGTTCTGAGTCACCTTCTGTGGCAGGAAGAACATAGCACTGACCCCGGCTGTCAGTGGTAGCTGGGCAATCTGGAAGCATAGTAAAAAAAGACAAGGAGTTATCTCTAAACACACCAGCAGAATCTCCCAGTGCCAGCTGTGGTCTCTAAACCTTGGTTGGCCGGCCAGCCACTCCACCTACCAGGTTCTTCCTTCCCACCCTGCTTATCTGCTATACCACAGGTTCCCCTTGCCCCTCCACAGTACAGACTTCTGCCCTAAACCCTGTCCCTCTGGCTGTGAAAGGAAATGCAAAATGCAACATCTTTCCTGTGAGAATCTGTCCTGAATTGTAGTATGGGGGGGGGAGCGGAATTCTCAGCTGGAACTCCCACCCCTATACTGATGCTGTGCTATGCACAGCCCCCAGTTCTGGGAGTCAGACCCAGGGCCAGCCCTGCCTAGCTCACTAGCAACTTTGCCAGCTATTTCAGGAACAGCCTTGATGAATTCCCAGAAGCAGCACTTTCCCTCCCCTGTCAGAGGGAGGATGCTTACCAGAGGGTGGAGCTCCATTAGGAACAGGCTGGAACTATGTGGTAGAGCGAATAACTTTCCACTTTTTGAAAGGCAGTGAGTCAGAGAGAAACTTCTACCAAAGCCTGTCCTTCCCTGCAGCCTATCCCTTTCCTCCCTGCCCAGCTGGGGCGGCTGTACAGACTGGAAAGACCTTTGTGCTACTTAAAGCTGTAGTTGCTATATGATCATGGGGATGTGGAGTTCTTTGAGCAAACCCAAAGCTCTCTGCCCTGGTGTAAAGAACAAGAGTTACAGGAGTTTGGTGGGAGGGGCAGAACTCACCCTCCTGGTGGGGGGGAGCTAGTGAGTGAGGATGGATCTTTCCCTAGTCTAGAGCGAGGTGATTTTCCACAGGGGCTACATTCTCTTTCTTGCTCAGTCCTTCACCTGACCTTGCAGTTGAGTTCTGAGTCGAAGCCATATCGCAGTATGGCTTTGGGGTCCGACATCATGGGCACCTTCACGGATCTGTCTTCATCCAGGTGGAAGTCCTGCAGCATAGTCTTTGTGGGGTCAAACTTGGTTCCCCACTGTCCTATTTTTAAAAATAAAACAGGAATGTTCAGGAATAATGGGAAAACCTAAGGTCTGGGTATGTAACCAGTGGAATGGTATTGTGGTTTCATACATGAAATAGTCCTGCTTTAGGACTTGGTCTTGGTAAGTGGAGGATGATAGAGGTCAGAAAGCCAGTTACTGGGATCAGCTATACTTGCAACTTTGTAACTATAAGTGGTACTGCTAATCTCCACCTACCCTTTGTGTATTTGCTCATTGTTAACTCTCCAGGACAGGGACAGTCTCTGTACCCCTGTTTGGGGAGCACCCAGCACAACGTTGCCCTGAGCTTGACTATGCCAATTGCTGCTCTTGTAATATAAAACTTGATGTCTGGATTCCCTAGAACAGCTCCCCAGTATCTCCTGTCCATGCAGAGGGGTGGTGTGGCAGGCACAGTCCCATCTGAACTCTTGATGAATCTCTTTCCATTGGGCAGGACATTCTGTCTTTCATCCTTAGAGGCTTTCACTTTCCTCCTTCCCTGACCCCTTTTTGCAAGCAGGTCAAGACTCAGCTTCCTGTGAGTAGTGACTCCTCCCATGGGGAAGTTCTTTCCACGTTCATCAAGCATCTGTCCCACCTCCTTTACTAAACTCACAGTAGAGAATCTATATCCATGTGTTCAAAGAAGTTTCTTCCTGTCACTCTGTCTTTCTGCCTACCTCTTCAGTGTGCCCTGGTCAGGATGTGACCTTCCCTCCTGTGTTTTCTGGCATGCAATTAGGAGACAGCCCCATCTCACCCCTGCCCATGAACGACTGTAAGCTCTTACCTTTGAAATAAACTGCCCCGATGAGGAAGATGCTGATGCCTGTAGGTATCTCCTTCAGGAATTTGACAATCTTTCCCTTGGTCTGCTGTTGCACCCAGTTGTTGATGTCTTGCAGGTCTGAATGGGTATTGCCAGTCAGCAACTTGGGCCGTGCCCCATAGGACTTCTCCAGCTGGCTCACAAACCCCATTTTCATTCTCAGTTCTGAGGGGCAGAAAGACCATTACTGCAGCCTACTCCCTCTATCAGAGACGAAATCCCAAGGCAATGAGGTACAGCTGAAGGCCTGGCAGTGAGCATCCCATGCCCTTTCCTGACATACTTACAGATATCTAAGCCCTAGTCTTCTAAATACCCATTGTTGTGATACACAGGCATGTGCAAACACCTAGAGAGTCTAACTAAAGCTGTGTGGGGAACTGATGTATTTATCTAGTCTCACAGCCACATCCTATGCTGTAGTCTGGCAAAACCTTCAATTAATGGGTAAAGATTGGTGATAGGAACCAAAAGCCCACCTGTAGCTGCCACCACTGTGGTGTCTGACTCTAGCCCTGTCCCTACACTCCTTACATGATTACAGCTTATTGAGGAGCTTGGATCTTCCTCAAGCCATCAGGTTGACGGGGGGGAGGGGGGAGAAGTGGGAGATGTTAGCATTCTTATCACCATGGTCTAGAGCAGAGTGAAACATGGCATTTTAACTGACTCAGAGGGGTCAAACAGTCCTATATGATCTGTCTTCAGGCTGGGCCTGATCATTATTGTAAAGCAAAAGATATGATCAAACTGTATCTGGAATTGAAAATACATTAGATGGCTCCTGGGAGGTAGGCGCAGCTGGAGTGAGGCTTAGGGAGGAGATGAAATTATCAAAGCAAGTTCTTGGGTCCCTTCTGTGCCAGCAGCTCTGTTGCCAAGTGCCCTGTTGGCACTTCTCTGATTTTAATAAACCTTTTCCAAGCTCTATCTAGGGACCCCCAACACTGTCACTGCATGGTGCAATCAGCACAGGGCAGAAACAGTTGCTGTGTCCTGTAACTGAAGCCATTGGTGCCTGTGACCCATCCATTCTGCTCTCCTGACTGCTGCTCAGGGACAAAGACAAGATTGATGTAGGCAGGTGAAAAAAGGTTTTTACTTCTCTCCACAACAATGCGGGTGGCACTTCTTAGGCCCTTTACAGGTGCAGTGATGCTAGCCAGCAGCTCCTTGTAGGTGTTGTGGACCTCAGCCTTGTTAAGCAGGTCGTAGAAGAGAGTACGAGAAATCAGGTCTTCTGTTCGCTCTCCAGCACCTGCCAACCATAAATAAAGGAGCATGAGGCTCCCCTCCAGCCATGCACAAGAATGCGTGAGGAGGAGGAGGAGGGACTCACCTAGTAAAAGGCCAGAAAGTGCAGTAGCTACACTGAAGGGAGACAGTAACACATTGGCGGTGGGAGTCTTGCTCGACTGCTGGCGATACAGGTCATAGCCAAAGTTGGAGACTGAAGCTGCCAATTTGTTTACAGGGCTTTTGTAGAAGGGATCTTCCTCCTCAGCTGCCTCTGTGTTGCCTCCTTCAGGGGTTCCGGAGTCCTTGCAGGCACAAGAAACACTTCTTTAGAATTGCTCTGCGTCAGAAGGCAGGAGCAGTATGATAGCCAGAGAACTGTTCACCTTCAAAGTGCTTTACAGACATTTCTCTGTAAGCGGGGGAAGTACTGGCCTTGTCGTACTGTTGGGAAAACGGAGGGTCACACAGTATATCATAGGCAGAGCTGGGAATAGAACCCAGTCC